GATAGGCAGGCAGCCCCTACAGATTCCTTAGAATATTATGAGACTACCTGATGTCTGGTGGCTACTTCAAGCTTCGTTCGGCACGTGTACGCGTGGACTGGCCTCCGAGCTCAGCAAAGGCTTAATCCCTATGTTCTGCCTAGAATGCGCGCCTTCAGAGCCACTTTATGCATGCTTTACTCTGTCGGACGCTACAGATTTCTTACAGTTGAGCTATCCATTTGTGATTGTTTGTGATTAACATGACACAAATACCATGAAAGTGCGTTGCATATTGAGAGGAGGGCATTTTAAGGCGTGGTCTAAAATTGGTGCTTGAATTAGGCAATAAAATGGTGTATGTATCATATTATTACTCAATGCACACGAGGCAATTCACGAGCGATCAGACGTGTGTTAAACTTGCATAGTGTAAATAAAATAGCTAATACTCGTTCACTCCCCATATCTATGGTCAGCTATTTATAAAGCTGAATTCCGCAAATTTTAACTACACTACTACTATTTTTATCGTTAAATTTTCCTTAATTATCCCCTAATTATTCGATTTGGTGTGCAGACGTGATGCTGCGCTCGGTGCGGCGTGTTTCAGGTCTTTTTGCAGCTACCTTTATGCGCTCCAACTTTGTTCCAAGGCGCGCATCTTTGGAGTATTCTACTGATCCTTCAAATAGGTATGTCTATATTTGAAGTCATCGAGGCGCCAGTGTGCAGTTAACATTCGAATGGCCGTGTAATGGAACTCGGAAAACGGTTTCTGCAAACGTGGGTGATACGCTCCTCGATGTCGTTTCAGAAAATGATCTTGATATCGACGGCTTTGGTATTGTTCTCACTTTGTCCTCTATTTTGTTAAGGTGCTTGTGGAGGGGAGCTTGCTTGCTCAACCTGTCATTTGATTTTGAGTGATGATGTTTATAATAAGCTTCCGAATCCACCCTCTGAAGAAGAATTGGATTTGTTAGACATTGCTCCAAACACAACGGATACGCAAGTCCTAGTTGAATTGGTCACTAATCATCTGCGCGATTCCTTACTTACCTTGATTTTTTAATGTCTTTCCTTAATCGTTTTAAAGTCAGCCGTATAGTTTAATGTCTTCTGATGTCGTGTTACGCTTGGTGGTTTTGGTATGATTTTCAAATCACTTTTAGTTAATCACTCGATTGTCGCAATCACTTATTTTTCCCACAGTAGTGCATTTGGGTATTTCTTTTGTACTTGATGGTTCCACTCGATTTTTTAGAACATGTGACATTTTGTAATGTTTTAATGGGAAGTTTATTTCTCGACAGCTCTCGACTCGGCTGCCAAGTCATAGTTTCTGATGAAATGGATGGTACTGTGATCCAAGTCCCCGAATTCGTCTTCGATACTCGTGTCTAAGCATTGTAGGTTGTTTGACTACTTTCATTCATTTCGAACTATTTTGCCTGAATTAAGTCAGTGTTTAGCTCTTGAATCTCTGCGCTTCTAGGTCCCCGCAATTTTGCTCCATCTGTAAGAAGACAAGCAGCTTCTTCACGAAGTTTATTTCTTGTATCCATGAATGATTGTTAGAGGAGATAGGTCCACCTATTTTATGGACACAGAGTTTCTGTTTGACTTACTTTTTTGCTTCCACACAGCATGCTCTTAACCTCCAATTTGTTCGTTCCTGCCTAAATCAGAACCTCGGTTTTATGTGCGTTCTCGGTTCTAGCGCACCTGAGCGCCATTTTCGTTGATTGAAAATAGCTCTCAATTATTTCGAGTCCCTCAATTTATTTTATTTTTCTCTTAACATTTTTCCCTCCAGGCCATATCAGTCTAGCCTAGCTTTAACGGAAGAAGACATGCTTCAAGCCGTGTAAAGTGTTTCTACCTCTCTCACACAGTTTTCCGCC